ACGCTTTAATGCTGAAGTTTATTGTCAGAAGGAAGAGAAAAGGCTGAACAACATTTTACAGATTGCTCTAATACTTATTTTTCTCCACTTCTTTTATAGATTCCTGTGAAGATGGCCTTCTTTAAGAACAACTTCTGGGTAAGTGTCTGAATAACACCTGGAAACGAGTCAATATAATGATGGAGATTATGCAGACGGGACACCTGCCTGTAATGGCTGCAATGATCAGTATTTTACACTTGGAGCCACATATTACTTATTCAATTGTTTATAGCTGAATAGCAACCGTAAGCTTTTCATTTGTATTCTCAGCCGAGCAGCCCTGCTGCTCATCAGGCTGTCTCCCTCCTCCGCTCACTTGTAAATAACAGACTGACTGACTGATTTTGTATTCAGCTACATGGAGAGCAGTGTCATCTCGATCATTTTTGAAGGCAGAGATAATGTCTTCATCTGCAGTGTTGTTAATCTAAAAGGTAATTTTCTGAAGCAGTTTTAGAGGCTGTAACTTGCTATTGCTAGCTATTAGTTATTTTTGAAGCTCAAGTCTTTACACTTGTTTGATATAACTCTGTGGTTGCCAATATGTGCAACATTGTTTTGTCATTAGGGCCAGTGTTATACCTGAGTTTCAGTACTAATACCGTAACAATACTTTTTTTCAATACCTTAGTTTGGGGGAATTATGAATTTGTTTTAATAAGCAGACGTTTTCTGGTGATGAAGGCTGTGGGACGCAGTTGAAAGCTGCAGAAAAAGCCAATAAGTGCACTTTCTTTAAACAGAGTTGGTGGGTTTTTTGTCCAGTGTTTTAACTTTTCATTTTTTATTTCACAAAATATACCAAACTGCTCAATGTGTCATGGTTTAGCAAAGAGCTTAACCAAAACAAAATATAGTCCGAAGTCAGAAAACGTACTTGACTTGGATCAGGAAATATCTGATCAGAGAAGACGTAAACAACCCTGAAGGTGTGTTCAGACGGCAACGTTTACTGCTGGACCGTGTTTATTTGCCCCAAGCAGCAAATGTACCAACTGTACAGATGTTGGCAAGCTAGCCAGAAACAAATGCACCGACTGTATGTGTGGGAGTTTACCTAAAGACCTGTGTGTCTCTGTGTGTATTTGTGTTCGGCTCAGGCTTTGACTGACCTGAGAACTGTTTCTGTTTGTTTATGAAGCATATTCATAAAGCCCGGGGTAAGCATGAATGTTATGCAGTTTCAGGTCCCTGGGATCTGGGCAAATTTGCGTCCCATCTTGTCTTTCCGTATTCTTTGTATGCTGCCAAAAAAAACTACCATAGAGTGGATTCATCGCCTCTCTAATGCAGTATCAACAAAAAGGCTTATCATGAGTAGCCTCACAAATTTAGGCTTCGTAATAGTGTTGTTATTAGCGTCTCATTTTCTTCTCCATCCTCATGTTCTCCGCTCCGTCTCGGCACACCTGGCACATCTATTTCAGGTGTGCCCTACTTCGCCTACTGTGCCTCATCACTTAGAAAAGTCCTCAGTGATATTTGAGCAGCTGAACTAATATTCAGACGCAAATGTGAGATCCAGATAAGACGTTATGAGTGCCGGGAGGGGCATTTTAAGGGTCTTTTATGAGATTATTTTCCCATGCAACGTGATTCTATAGAAATACGAGGAATGACCAGGACTTCTTAACGGCGCGTAACGTGGTGGTGGCACATATTGTGTTAAAATGAGGTGCAGCCGCCACAGAAATAATGTAACGTTATAGGTTCAGGCAACAAAAAGACTTTGGTCGAGGAAAAACATCTTTGGGATAAAAATGAGTAAAAGACGTAAACACGTCACAAATATAACTTCACAGCTCCACAATACTTTGGGAACACCGGTCTCCTGGTTGAAAATGCAGGTATGCATGTGTGCTTTTAATGGATGAATAATATTATGAGCAGAATTTCAGCTGTGCTGTGTCTGCATCACAGAGAAGATTCAATTTAAGGATTTGTCACTATTCCTACCCCTGAAACACGGCTACATTTTCTTGGTTATTTCAGCCAATATGTGGAATTTGTGTGCCTTTTGGGTTTACATATTCATAACGGTGTTCCCCACCCAGCGTGCCCTCAGACACGAATAGCTGTGTAATACAAATCAACCCTTCAGTAAATTAAACAACACAGCCACTTGGGAACACGTCGCGCACACAAAGAGCCTCGTCTTGTTTGGCTCAAGAACATTCACAGCTGCTCGCAAAGCCTCCTCCTACAAAGCACGCTGTCCTGTCTCATTAAATACATAAGAGCTGTGGTCATGGCCCACAGGGGGACCACCGGCTGTAATTAAGTGCATCCTTAGTCATTTAAGACACCGTTGAGGCTTAGGAATATGATTGAAGGATTGATGCTGCTTTGTTCAGATTTTTCGTGTTATGAGTCTATAGTCTCTGTTCCTTAATGTGGTTTGCCTCAAGAAGGGATAACCGACCGATAAAGCGGTGTCCGGGGCCCCGGACACTTATGACTTCGTCTGGTTGGAGAAACAGATGTTCAGAGCTTAGTAGGAGGGATTCACAATGGAGTCATCGTCTCCATCGTTAATAACGTATACAGAAGAATGATCACAAAAATGGCGGAGTGTGGATGGGATCGACGCAGCTGAACAAGTTGTTTGTCGACTTGCAGAAATAAGAACCCTTAAATCGACTAGGTCGACTGCTTTTAGCAAACGCTACTCGGCTTGTGTGTCGACTGAAAATGCTGCTGCCGCGACAAATTCATCACTTGCTACTGATTGGTTGGAGCAAAACGAAAATACAACAAATGAGCTCAGAGACAAAAACAGAAACTAAACAGTCAGTCTTATTATCGTCCCTCTCAGTATTTGTGCTGGTTGTGTTAAGTCATTAAACACAACAGGACATACAGTACACACAATGCAAACAACCCTAACCCTGTTAATCAAACTACATCTTTAGTATCTAAAGTTAATAAAGAGGCAGCAAAATATAAATAAAATAAAAAAACAATGTTAGTTATTTTTAGTTTTCTCCACAATCTTTGTGACTGCACAATGGCCACTCTGAACCCGAAGCTCACTCATCCACAGATTTAAATAAGAGGGGATATTTGATTATTTTCAGTTGGGACACCAGCTTCACTACAGTAGCAGTATCCTCGTTCTGGTGGGATTTCAGTAGGAAATTAACGCTGCAGCTGAAAAAGGCTTGTATTCATTATTAAGGTGACCTGTAGATGGATCTTTAGTAATATTCTCCTCTCAGTACAGACTCTAGATTCTCTCTTTGCAGTGGTGAATAGACCGTAAAATGTCCTTGACGTGAGTCTGCATGATATCCTGGGGATTTAAATGAACTATTTTAAAGAATGACAGTATAGTTTAGCAGGTGTTCTGTTCTGAGGCGGTACAGTACACAGTGTTGTTTTCTATTCATTCACTTCCTAGAAACATCTCTGTCTTTACCTGCAGATACAACACTGTGTTGACATAGAGACACACACAAACAACAGCCAGTGGGTTTTTTTTATTTTTGCCCGCTTCTCATTTTAATGATGCCGACGTTGTTGTTCTCTCATCACTTTGAGTCATGGGGTTTTTCCTCTCGGGGTGAAGAACAGTAAACGCACAGTGGGAAACTTCTTCTCTCCTTCCCATGTGTCCCTCCCTTACTCTCTTCTCTAATTGTATCTGTCCACCAATCCTCTGTTCCTAAAGTCCAACCGTTTCATTTATTCTCAGTCGTTCCTCTGAGATCTGTTCTGTGCCAAGTTACACTATAAGCCAAGAGAGAAATCGATATAAGAGTCACTATATTTGTGTTCATATTCCAGTGTGTGTGTGACAGAACTGGAATATAAACTATATTTATGTGGAGGTGGATTTTTCAGACCGGCCCACACAGCAAATTAGTCTAAAGCCATCAATGATGACGGGTGGCTGCTACCTGCTCCTGATGTTATTGACACCTCTCTGCTGTGGGCCTATTCTGGCTGCTCGACCTGCCCCGTCAGCACAAAAAAAAGTTTCCGTGAGTCAGCGAAACTCGCAGCAGTCGGCTGGCTTGATGTCTCGGTGATATACTGTCTGATGCAGGGGTGAGATGTTTTCAGCTTTACTTTTGACAGCTGCCTGATATATTGCAGCTACATTGTGTGGCGTACAGAACTGGATCAGATGTTATTTGGATTTCGATCCATTTGCAGCTTGTCAAAATTGCTGCGACAGAAAGTGAATTAATTAAAAAACTAAAATATTTTTTAGCTATATAGGGAGATGTTTAATACCAGCAAAGTAGTACAGATTTCAAGACTAAATACAATGTTTTTATGACTCCACACCGGTGACAGCCGAAGCAGGACGCATCATGTTTTCGGGTCCTGAAATGGACACAGAAAAAAGACACAAGTTACAGACGAGTATAAAAGAAACGCACAAACGTCTCAGAGTGACCACCGGGCTCGTATGTGCATCCCTGAGAAGCATAATTGTCTTTTCTCTTTTGTTCTGCTCAGTACCTTTTTTTTTTTTTTTTTTAAGAGCCGTGCTGCACAGCAGGAATGTCCTCAGACACTTGAACCGGTCTCAGACAGACTGTTGGGGCAGATTTGACAAATAGCCAGAACTAAAGGCACCGCTCTGCCAGAGAATGAAGCGCTGAAACATAAAGCCCGAGCCAAGCTGAGCAACACTTCACAAAAGTCTCGATGAAGCAACTTTTTCCACTGGGAATGGGCAGTGGTGGAAGAAGTACTTTGATCTTTTACTTATGTAAAGTATAGCATACAGTACAGTGTAGAAATACTCCGATTCAATTCCTGCATTCACAATAGTACTTAAGTAAATAAAAACCGGTTTGATTAACTAGTGTCCCGTCCTTCTGGGCTGCAGTCAGCTGATCTACTGGTGTAGTGTCGTGTATACAGGTTGTGCAAGTTTTCTTGAATATCCAACGTTTATTCCCTCAGGATGTGGGAAAAGAGATGCGCAAACTGTTTCTTAATTTGATTCAGATACACGTTTGTGCTCGTCTGCACCTCGCTTTGTGCGTGTTCTTATTAAGTACATAATACTGTCCTAATCCATCAGGTAAAGGGTTTCTATCACTTCCTTTTTGCATGTCTTTTTTTAGCCTCAAATCTATTCAAAATGTGATTTTTGGTGGATATTTTAGGAGAAATTTTCATCATTTTTAATTTAGAAAATCAGAAGCAAACCAACTACAGACAGCTCAGTGAGTATTGTGTTCATCCAGTCAGGTGTAGGAGGGCTTCATGCCGAGTGCCAATCGTCTATTATTCCGTCATTATTTGACAGCAAATTCCCATTGTCTTCTCAACGCAATAAGAATTTGCTAGACCTTAGGTTTCAGTATAACAGTTTTGCTTGCTCGGAACCATTTTTTTGTGAATGAAAGTTTGCAGCAGTACAGCACTTTTAGTTTTTGAGGAAACGTCGGCTGAGATCCTCTGCAGGCAAACATGCAGATGAAAGATCTTTTTATTTGTTGTAGTAAAGCAGGCCCTGCAGCACAGGTCTCCTCACCTTCCTTCTTTAGTTAGTTTCGTACAAGCCTGAGGGGAAGTCTGAAGATGCGTCTAATTAGAATCAAGTGAGAACAGTTGGAGAGACAAAACTCTGGAGAGGCATAAAACGCACGCACGCGAGTAATAAGACATAAATAACAAGGATTGAAGTGGAACATTGTACCAATTGTCTCAGATTAGCTTTTTTTGATCAGTTATCTAAAATGCAGTGTGCCAAAGATACTGTACGATAGCAGCATGAATCTTTGGAAAGATTAGCTTCTGTTTTTGAAAACCTTTTGTCTTATGACATGTTAACCAAAAGAAAACTACATCTCAGACACAACTGACATTTGGCTTTTATTATTTTTAAACATTTTTGTTGCAAAAAAAACACAGTGGCTTTGCATGGACAAATGATAAGATTACAGTTATACTTCTATATATTCTTCTGTTCATTGTTCATTTTGCATGAATTTAAGAGCAACGGGTCTTAATCAGGAAATGCTGTCTTTAACTAACCGATGAACCGCTGAACAGAAGGCCTCATTGACTGATCAGACATATAGTGTCCAATTTGTCAGTGGCCAAGTCTGCACTGAAGCTACACAGGCCTGTGTCTCCACAGCACACATGAGCCTGAAAGACCTGAACCTAGCTGTTGACCCACGCTAATATGTTTTTTCCTAAAGACGAAGGATTTGTATTTTTAAGCATTTGGGAGCGGGAATGCTTGGACATGGCGTTTGAGATTGAAGATCGGCACACTGACTTCAATAGCCCTGACCACCACAATAATAAACAGCTTGAGGAAGCGAGGGAAAACCAGGGATCCTAACCTCTTAACAGAGCGACGTTTGCATTTGATTTACTGAGATGAAATGATCATTTCCCTGCTGCTGACCATCCCCCTTAACACATTTCAACAGATCCCCTACAGCTCCCGGTTGTCTTCAGAAGTCTTCATGAGAAAGTTGCCCCTGTACAGATTTTACACCTCCCCGTGCACCCCCCCTCCATTCCTCTCTTCTCCTCTCCCATCATTCCCCTCTTTGTCATGGTAATGTTCTCCATCGTGCGTGACCAAAACGGTCAACTTAATTGATAAAAAAAGAGATCACCAAGAAGGGAGTGAAGAGGGGGTTTGCATATATCAGACATGGAGGATTGTCATTCACTGAAGGCTTAAGGAATACATTACGACACTTGAAGACACTTAAAGAAGACTGTCGGTGGAGTGGCAGCTCTCCTGTTATGTGATATCGGATCGTTTGGCATGACTCAGTCAACATCCACAAGTAACAACTCGCAGCTGTTTGCACAATCAAGAACATGCAGGAGTGTAGTTCTGTGTCAGAAGAGAGAGAGAAGACATGTCAGTGTGATCTCATGCTCATAATTTCATTTTTGTTGCACCTGCCAGTCTGAGGCAGGTGTTCCCATACAATGGGCCTTCTTATAAAAGCTGGTCGAGCTATATTTTAATGTGAGTTATTCATAAATCTTCAAACAGCATAGTCATTGCTGTTAAAGAATATGACTGCTGATATTCTATAGATTTGTTATTGTCAGCGAAACCCAGAATGAAAGCACCAAAACCAACAGTGGGTTTGACTGTCTCTCAATACTTTCTGACTTACCTACCCTGTCTGTGGCACTCGGCCCCAAGCCCATTTATTACAAATGAACACAAAAATCTGTGAAACCAGGTCATAAATATATAATTCATTCTTTTAAAAGACTTTGTAATTTCATACAGCTGGGCACTGTAGTGTTAAGCAAACATTACCACACCTGGAGTAAATAGTGCATTTGTTGGAGGCTTTTTTCTGAACGATTAGATCTGACAAAGGCTTCTGATGACGTATTCTGGCAGCTTTAGTGGCGTCAAAACTAGTAACTAGACCGTGGCCTAAAAAGGGTGTTGGGATGCTGACAGTTAGAAACTTCTTTATGTCAAGTTATGATGATGGAGTCTTTTGAGAGCAGTTTCCCTGACGAGATAATAAATGGATATTGGAGCATTTGCAAAAGTTGATATAATATGCTAAACAGCTAAAATGCTGCTGCAATAAAGTTAGGGCATATCGCTCAGAGCACAGACTGCTCATATTTGCTTTTTCAAATATTCAACAAGACTTATTATCAAATACTGTTTGCAAAACCATTTGAGCACCAAAATATTCTTTGATCTGTGGACATACAGCCTTGTGTGTGTGTGTGTGTGTGTGTGTGTGTGTGTGTGTGTGTGTGTGTGGTTTTGGGTGACCCTTGGCATTCCAGCCATTCCCCTGGTACCTGGGAACTGGTCTGTTCTCCTCCGACGGGGTATATTTAGGAGAAGCAGCTGTCTGTGTCTCTGTCTGCACAGATGTCCCGGCTGTCTCTCGACTCAAAAATGTGGCGAGGCCCAAGAAGAAACGACACAGTCTATTTGTAATAGCGCTGTCGTGCTCTTTTTCAGATTATGAAGACTTGTGTTAACACAGGTGTAGGTTTGTGTGATTACGACAGTGATGGGTGGGAAGGTGTTGCTGTTGTGTCGAATCTGCTTAGCTGCAAGGTAGGCAACTTTTCTGTGAACAACAACCCAGCGCTGTGGTTTTCTCACATTTTACATGTTGGCCTTTGCTCGACTAATGTACAGCAAGCAGCGAGGTGATTTCCAGTGTTGAGTAGCAGCAGCATGTACGTGACTTTATTGTGAAACATGACACGTCACTTTTGTCCCTCTCTTTCATCACAGCCAATTGTATAAAATCACCAAAATTACTGTATTCTCTACCAGATAGTCAAGTATCTATTGGCTCAATATCTAAACAAAACTGTTACTGTTTATATATGGGAAATTTAAAGATGGTCTTCAAACTAAATGTGTGTGACGTTGGTCAGTAAATCTGTAAGTGAGTCTGTTTGTGCACCCAGTTGCACTAATACATTCTCCACCTACCGGCAACTAAAGGGAGACACAAATACTCAAGCACAGGATGATGTGCAGCTCCTAATAAATAATAACAAATCGTGCTTTTCCTAATTTTTACTTAGATTTTTGCTTATTTAGACATGAATTTTGATGATCTCGTATAATTATTAACTATTAATCTTCCCAACACACAAAAACGCCGTGAAACCAAGTTATAAAATGACAGCAAGATAGAAGGATGAGACAAAAGAGAGTGAAGAAGAGAGTGTCCGTTTATAAAAACTAAACGGACACTAAAATGTAACTTTATTTGGTTTGTGTTCGTAAGGTATGATGGACCGGTTACGTCGAGTAATTGATGACCGAGTATTGATGACCTACTTTAGCTCAACATCTGTATAATGTTGTGTGGTGTGTGACAGCGAGTGATGAGGAAGAATATAGCACAGACTGTCAAATACCTATAAAACCTATAAAGTGAAATAATAATTAAGCAGCTTTTTCAGATTACTGTTGCTAATGAACAGCTTTGAATGGTGTGTTTAAAACAGGCCTATATACATTCTGATCAGCTGAGAAACAAAAACAATTATTTTTCATCTGAAGTAAAACTTTCATTACTTATTTAGCTCCCAGAAAGCTAATATTATATATAAAATGAGCCTCTACACACGTCTATAAGGTCTATTGATGTCGGTGTGGTTTTCAACTCTAAGCCGAGTCCAAAGCTGGTTTCATATGAATGTTTGCAGAGCCCCAAATGTTTGTCGAATGTTGTCTATGTGACTAACAGTGAAGTGTTTCCCTGGATGAGTCTGACTGTCGTTAGAGGAACATCAGTGGCAAAAATATAATAAGGCAAAGCCAAAACAAATGTGATATTATATTACTGAAGCACCAACTGACGTCACTCTTTAACTTTCTAATACCGGTTTGATGTTCCTCGTTTGGGTGCTAACAGACGGGGTGTGTGTGTGTGTGTGTGTGTGTGTGTGTGTGTGTGTGTGTGTGTGCGTGCCTGCCTGCCTGCCTGTGTGCGTGTGTGTTTTTTATTTCTATCTTGGCAGGGGGAGAAAAATGCCGGCTTTGACGTGCTCTACCACAACATGAAGCACGGCCAGCTGGCATCCAAGGAGCTAGCCGAGTTTGTCCGTGAGAGGTAAGGCTCGTGTGTGTGTGTGTGTGTGTGTGTTTGAATGTCTGTGTGGGAGGTGGCGCTCGTGATGGGAGTCGGGTGGAGAAATTTCACATTCTTGAATCTGTATACTTGGATCTTTGGAAAGATGAGAGACCATGCCGAGGTTGAGTGAAAAGCACAGAAATGATAAATGACCTGTTCTGGATTTTTATTTTTTTTTTGTCAGAGAAGACTTTAACAAGTCTTTCTCTGTTGAAACTGCTTCAGTCTTCCCTCTCTGCTCTGATCTCTGGCCCTTGTCCTCACTACTGTGCTACTTTTGGAGCTCACTTTCTCTAAAACTCTCTCTCACACACACACACACACACACACACACAAGCCTGAAAAGGTGAATTATCCCTCAATGTCAGAGCTTTACGTGTTATCCATGTTTGCAACTGCTGCATTTAAATACGCTTTTACGTCTTTATTTGACAGAGGACAGTGTAGAAATTGGGGGTAAATTAAGATGCAATATATTGTGATATTGTAATCAAGGCGATGTATCATAAAATGTGCTCAATTAGCTAGCTAGCATCCATCGCAATTTCTGACGGAAACAAAGAGCATGCTTTTGTTTACTTCTGTCTGAAATCAAAGACCCTTTGTTTAATAATTATTATGAATTACAAATTGTAAATCCTGCCTCTATTATCATTGTGAAGTACATTAACGCTGTGCAACAACTGAAAGCTTAACAGGCGTACAACAGTACCTAAGGGGGAAGTCAATTATCTAATTAAAACGGTCCTCTCAAAGTGGGTAGTTTGTTCCATTAAACACCCAGTCCTCTTATTAGGAACTTATCAGTGAGTAAATTGAGGGTAGTAATGAGGTTCCCACAGGGGTTTGTGCTCTCACAGTGGGAAGTTAACACACACACACAATGCTCTGTCAGACCAGCGATATAATCCTGACATTGATTCAGTGAATGTGCACATTCCTCGCAGAGGGAAATCCACTTATCTTACTCGGACAGGAGCAGACAACAAATCAGCAGTCAGGAAATGAAATGGGGCCACTGTGGGTAAAATAGTGGAGGAAAGGCAATTGTTTTGATAAATTTTCTCTCTCGCCACTTGCCTTGAAGGTCGTTTTGATATAAGACGCCATATAAAACACTGAGTCAAAGTACCGCAACAACTCCAACCACGTTCTCAAGGCTTCTCAGTGACTGCATGCTATATCACGCTCATACTCAGTTTAATGGAGATGTACTGATACTTTTTGTTAGCGGGGCACCATTGACAGTGGGCACTCAATAGCTATCAGGTTTGACAAGTGCTGAAACAATAAGTTTAGAATGAGTTAATCAATTAGTGTCCTGACAGAAAATTAACTATTTTGGTAATCGAGGAATCGTTTCATTCATTTTTCAAGCCAATAGGCCAAACATTCACTAGTTCCATCTTCTCTAAAGCTAATATATTTGGGTTTTGGACTGTTAATCGGATTAAACGAGACATTTGGAGACGTCACTTTGGGCTTTAGTAAATATTGATGGACATCTTCACTATTTTCAGACATGTTATAGACTAAATGATTAATCAATTAAAAGAGAAAATAATTGATAAAGAATTGAACCGTTAGTTGCAGAACTAACAGTTTGGTCCTCAAAGACCATTTTGAATGAATGACATTTATCTCGTTAAAAGCCCAATTGTTTGCTTGTTTCAGAATATCAAAAGTGAGAATTTGGAGCTATTTGGAGTAGAACTATTTTGGATGTGGAGAGAGAATCAATAAACTAGAGTAGCGGCTGCACACTGATTCCAAACCAAAAATCTATTTAGATAGACAACGTTTGATTCCAGGTCAGAATCAACTGATTGGGATTGAAACTTTGTCCAATGACTGATTTTTATTTTGGCCACTTCAGAACAGCAGAAACAATTTAGTAAAGACAGTATTGACCTATCCCCTTTAGGTTGATATGGTATCAAACAGTTCAGTTAGCAAACAGTTGCTTGTTTACACCTCCAGCATTTGTCTGTCTCTTTATCTGCTAAATGGTCGAATATGTTCACCAGCTAGTCTCTTCTGGGTCAGTCTTTTGGAGCTATTTCACTGATATCAGCTGCCTGATGCGGCCCAAAAAAACCACTCCCGTTAAGTGTGAACCAAAACGGTAAAGTTGCGGGACCTGTAACTAAACAATGAGCTGAAACTTGATGTGCTATAAAGCTCAAAACTATAAAACTCTGAAGTCGAGAAAAGCTGCAGATTCGAGCGATAATATCAGTTATAGCTGCTTTGAATAAAGTGTAGTTTGGAGTCAGTGTGCAGGTGTTCACCCGTTGTATATAGACGTGTATGTAAGACGTCACTTCAGGCCTAATTGATTACAATTATTGAAAATATAACAAAACTGTGAAACATAAGAAAACAATAGATACAATTTGAAAATGAAAATATTAGTTCGCCCTGCTTGTGATCCAATATGAGTTCCAACTCTGCGTCACTGCTTGTTTATTGTTAATGACTTCCTGTAGCACGTTGTTCTGTTCCACCCTCAGGATGTTTGGATCAATACTCCTTCTTTCTCTTCAGGGTCAGCAGATGATGGTTATTAAAGTTTCATGCCAGCCTTTGCAAAACAACTCCATCTTCATTTAAATGTGGCTTATTGCAACAATTATCCAACACTGATGAAAATGAATCTTTATCTGTCTGACTCTAATGGTGGATGCCCAGAGTTTGGGACAAAGAAAGCTCCAGATAGAGAACATAACATATGAGGCCATTAGCAGAGGCAGGAGCCTGGTGAGGAAGTGTTATTAGAGTACATTACATTCACCAGTCTAAAAGTTAGTTTGAAGAATTTACATTTTAAAGAAAGCAAAGCACACAACATTACTCTTCCTGTGGGGTTGCTGGCAACTTAAGAAAAAGACTTGTATCTTCTGAGAGACCCACACAAGCATAATATATATATATATATATATTCATTACAGAGGTTCTTTAGGTCCTTGATTAGAGTTTTTGTATTGTTTTTTCCGGTAATGGTAGCGTTTGTTTTTGCAGTGCTGCTATTGAAGAGACTTACTCCAAATCAATGAGCAAACTGGCCAAGATGGCGAGCAACGGAAGTCCACAGGGGTGAGTACCACCATGTGAACACAGAACAGCCCGTCCTCGTCCCCGATGGTTTAATTTATACTATTGAAAGGCTTTGCTACTGTAATTATACATGTTATGGTCATATGGCTGCATATAATATATGAATGAGTACCATCTGCATCACCAAATGTTCATATTTATAATTAAAACAATACAGCTTTTTGAAATATGAAAGGGCATCTTGCTTTTACTGCCTCGTGGTTTAACTGACTCCACGCTCGTTAGTGCGATTGAGCATGCTTTGCTGCCACCACAGCCCCACCTCGGTTAGATTGTGATTGTATGCTCTTAATCTCTCCATGTCTTTGGAAATATCTTATTTAGAAGATAATATTTCTATATGTCCACAGTATGACTCTTGGTATTACAATAGATCTTGAATGAAGAGAGAGTTTGTACCCAACCGTCTCCTTGTGTGTGCTTAATGCTTGTGTATGTATTTCCTAGGACCTTTGCTCCCATGTGGGACGTGTTCAGGGTGTCTTCGGACAAACTGGCCCTCTGCCACCTCGAGCTGATGAGGAAGATGAACGATCTCATCCGGGACATCAACAAGTACGGAGACGATCAGGTCAAAATTCACCGCAAAGTAAGTACCTAGGATCAGGATGCTTTACCGCTATCCTGACCGCAAACTGGCTGATTTTATGTGCCTGTGTGAGTTTCTGTGAAGATAAACTGAGACAGATTTTCTCCTTACTCGCCCTTCATCGAGACTCTGTCATTTTGATCTAATTTATCTCAGAAAATCCCATTACTGTCTTCTCCCCCCATGGTAATCGGTGCGTTTTCCCTTCAAGCACAATGATGATCTGTTCGTGATGTTCATGCGTCGTGTTTTTCTTTATGCGTGTGTCACGCAGACAAAGGAGGAGATGGTGGGAACAGTTGAGGCGGTGCAGGCGCTGCAGGTTCAGAGCGGCCACCTTCAGAAGTCAAAGGAGGGCTACCACGCCAAGTGTTTGGAGCTGGACCGGCTCAGGAAGGAGGGAGCGCCACAGAAAGAAGTGGAGAAAGTTAGCAACAACTCTCTTTATTTTCAAGATTTTTTTTTTTTTTTTCCAGATTGTCAACACAATAAAAGCTAATCAGTGTCCTTTGAATACAATATCAGAGGGTTGGTTCAATATGTTCACACTAGTTCCTGGATTGCTCTCTGGAGTTTAATCGTCTTTTGTTCACATCGATCTTTAGTCTTTGTCACGCAGACAATAAACAATCACAAACATGTATTATGACAGTTATTTTGTAGTTTGGGAGGACCGATCCTTTAAACAAACACGTCTTATTTTAGAAGAGAGCTAAGAGTCGGTGTTGGGCGTGATATAATATAAATACATCTTAACTGTATCAACAGATGGAGTGTGATTGTCAAGTTGTTGTCACACAGTCTACATTATCTTTATTCATAATAATATATCAGTTATTCCTTTGCAATGCAACATAATATTAGTACCAGAGTGATAAAATTATTTGTTGTATAAGTAGTGAATATTCTCTTTTAATCGTTCATTCAGCCTCGTACCTCTCTCCTTGTGGTCATCACAACGCATCCTCAGGAAAAGTGATTTGTGTTTGTTTAGTGGTTTTAAAACAAACTGTTTGACCATGATTTCTTAATCTCACAATTTCATAAAAAGCATAAATTAAAAATACTGCTTTTTTGTAAATTTGTATTCAAAGTATATTCAAGTCCAGAGCTACTCGACGTGTCTCTCCGTACAGCTTGTGGACAGCTGGATGTGAACTGGGACTTGACAGATTCAGTGTCCTGCATCACTGTTCCTCAACTCTGAGATGTCCTCTTGTTGTTATTGTTATTATTATTATTATTATTATTATTATTATTATTATTATTATTGTTCGTCTTGTGACCCTAAAATCCATCATACACTTGTTTCACAAGCGTGTCTGTTATATAGAGGTTAAATACATTTTTCAATTCATCTTGACAATTATGGAAAACAACATTTTCTAACTGCTCTGCCCTAGATGTCTGCTCTGGGAATAAATTGCTGTTCTTGTTTTGAAGGTACAGACTGAATACTGAATGCAGTAGTTGTAATCATGGGGCAGAAATTGTTCTCATTCACTCACTGAGCTATTCATATTTATTTCAGGATTGTGAATGAGAGTCCGGAGCTAAAGGCCGTCATTATCCCTTTTCCTTTTCTTTCTCACTAGGCGGAGCTGAAGTCTAAGAAAGCGGCCGAGTCATTTGCGGTGTGCATCGAGAAGTACAACCGCGTGGGTGGAGAGTTTGAGCAGAAGATGAGCGAGTCCTCCCAGGTCAGCTCTGACTCCAGCTGGGAGTCGGTCTCTCCCCCACCCTCTGATGTGGTGTTTTTGATGCATTTCTTCTTCCCTTGGGCTTTCTCTTTATCTCCCTGACTCACCCTCTCTGTAACCTCCCACCACACAAGAACTCCCATCTTATCCTTTCATTCATTCTCTTATCATGTCTTCCCCAAAAATGGAAACCTCAACCCCCGACTCCTGAACACCCACCTGCTCGCACACGCATGCACATCCTGACTCTCGCTCATTACCTTTAATCACTGCCTCCACACTTCCATGGGTAGTGCTGCTGTTTCCATGGAGTCTGCGTTTTATATTTCAAATGATGACTGAAATCCTTTTGACCAATTATTTCTTGTATTAGCTTTGAGGGGGAAGATTTGGTCATTAGTATGAAGGGAGAGAAAAGTGTCAAAAGGGAGGTAAACCAAATGAATAAATAAGAGCTTCTATTTTTAAATCAAGCATAAAACTAGAGGGGATCACAAGATACATTCTCTAAAGGCACCTTTCATGCCGGTAGCTTGGTTTATTTGGTCTGATCAAGGGAAGATAAAAAAAAAAAACACATTGTGGTTCAGTTGTATTCATGCAAAATTTGATAAAACCTCAGTTACCCAAAAAAGTATTTGCGCTCGCTTGAGGTGGTTTTTGCTGTGTGTTGAAAAAGAGTTGATGCGCTAAATAGATTATGACTTTTGCCGAATAAATTCTGACGTAGCGAACACGTGTAAACACACACAGATTCTTTTTGCTCCATAGTCACCACAGTAAATATTGATATAAATACAATACAGCTCAAGGTCTAATACAATGGATATGCTCTAAATTCCGTATAGAGCTCCTTTAAAATAAGTCAGTCTTTATTTCTGTTAAATTGTCCCACTTGCATTGGACAAATCTAGGAGCAAAATAAAGAAATGTCTCAAACTACAGATTAGTCTGAAGTATCTGTGAGAAACTGGCCACTGGAGTTGTGGCACATGTCAGAGGTGAATGAAGTGCCCTGCTGGAGGCTGACAGCGGTTGCAAAGAGTCCGTTTGGACTCTGTCCATTCAATTGGAGAAAAGAAACTGGCAAAGCTCACTGCTCATGAACTCTCTTCTTTAATAGAAGCCACTGGCATTATATCAAGACAATTCCCCTGAACCAGACAATGACAAATGAGTTGGCTGAGTTAGAAGCAGGATCAAACTTAAATACTAAATCCTCTCAAATTATCGCTGGTTTAAAGACCTGGCAACCCGGTGCCTCTTCTGCTGGCGGACTGCTCCTCCGTAGCTGCTCCTGAATCCGCAGATCTCCTTTAAAGTCTATTTTCACATTATTGCATATATGTTGAGTTTAGAGTTTCTGGTTTATTTGATTGTGGTTGCATCTCAGACTGCCTCTGAGTGAATTAAGAATGTAGCATTTATTTTTTTATTTTTTCATTAAGAGACAAACGCACAACAGAAACAAACACCGCAACAAATATTAAAATATAAACTAAAAACACTGAAATAACACAAAACCAGACAAAAACTAATATTCAGCCTCTACAGAAAGCTTCATATCAACAAATATATCCTGTTCATCATCAAGCCTAACAACATATTTATAATTAGAAATAAACAATGTACAAAGTTGCACAAAAAGTCAGAGAATGATGTCGACCCACAGAGAAAGATAAATAAACCTACAGTGGAGTTCTGAGATTTCACATGGGGACGTTTTTTTTGTTTTCCTCACCATGGTGGGTGTGTGTTTGTGTGTGCATGTTTTGTGTGAGCAGAAGTTTCAGGAAATCGAGGAGACCCACCTGCGACAGATAAAACAGCTGATCAAAGGTTACTCACACTCCATAGAAGACACCCATGTTCAAGTGGGACAGGTAAGCTTTCTCTTATATTTTAAATTAAAGTATAAATAATAATACAAACTTTATTTATACAGCACCTTTTAAAAAGAGTTTACAAAGCAGCAAAAGCAAGGCAAGAAATAAATGATAACATGCCATTCAGCGTGTCATAGTTTAGGACCCTTGTGTCCACTGAATGTACCGTCATTGCCAACAGGTTGTTTTTTTTTTTGTTTTTTTTTCTTCTTTTTTTTCTGTTCATCAGACAATTCTTTGAGTCATGTTTAGTTAAAGCTCAGTGGGATAACTTGTCACAACTGCCACACTGGTCAAATAGTCAGAGTTTCCACTTCTCCTGTTGGGTGATTGATGATCATCTATGATTTCTGTCAACCCGATCAGCAGCCTTTCATTTAATGTCCAGCTCAACTTCCCGTGCAGCTCAACTGCTTCATGCTAACGTTCACACTACACTTGAGATCAAATGAGTCATACATTAAGCTAGATGCATTGTTAGATCCTCTTGGACTAAAATTTAACAAACAATAAAATGGAAAATAAAAAGATTATTATCATTAATAGTAGTAGTAGTCCCATTGAGGGAGCACGGCCAAGACAGCAGCAATAGTGTTTGCAACAAGATGCACACAAACATTTAAAACACAAAAACAAACCTACAGTATTTCAAACATACACACAAACACATACAACATTACACACGCAGCATTATCACACGGAGCTTTGATAACAAAAACAATACATTTCATGTCACCTTTTTCTAATACTACAAGCTTGTTTAAGGACCAACTAATCATCCTGCTCTGCTTCAGGTCCACGAGGAATTCAAGCAGAATGTGGAAAACATCGGCATCGATAACCTCATCCAGAAAGTTGCGGAGCAGAAGGGCACGGGCAAAGACAGGCCAGGTACAGCTCATCTCACCAGGATGAGGGTTTATTTTGTTTCCTGTCGGAGTGAAATGAACACACAACTTAAATCAGCAGCTTACATAACTGAAATGTGAATGCAGCCACACTGACAACAGAATTGTGGAGGCAGAATAATTCATGGTGACACAAAACGTGAGTGAATGGATCAACTACGTACGTATATCCGTGTGTTGGTTTTCTGAATGTTTTTTATTTTGATCAAACTGCCTGTCATCTGTAGCTGTGGTTGGCTTTGAGGAGTACATGACGGCTTTGCCACCAGAAGGCGGGAAGAAGAGTCGAGCAAAAGCCTTCAGGATCCCCGGCCTCGGCAAGAGGGACAAGGAGCCGGACTCTATGTGAGTGTGTCCACACACACACACACACACACACACACTGATATTTAGAAAATGTGATCTTAATCTTCGTTCTTTGTTACTGGCTTCAGTTTAAGTACTTGTTGATAAATGAAAACAAAATACATCTCTGTGCGTGTTATTTTGTATTTGCAGAGACTCGGCTGTGCCGGAGACACCGGTGAGTATCACATATAACTCCAACTAGAACACTGCAGCTTCTAAACCGCTGACTCAACTATCTGACTCCTAAAGCTGCAGTTATCCCTGCAGACACCCTCTGCACAGTGGGAAGAGTGTGTTTTATTTGGGGGGGTGGGTGGAAAGAAAATCATGTACAAGTGCGTGTTTGTGGAACGAAGTTGAGCGGGAAATCACGAGTGTGTATTAATGGCTTGACTGACGGTGTGGGGTTTCCCAGGTTTATTTCGGTACTTCTGAGAAGAGGTTTCTGAGATACCTTGGCAGCAACAGGGTAAATGCGTAACTGCATATGACTGTGTGTTTGTGTGTGTGAACGGGCTTTGGACGCTGCCATCCAACAGACAAATGTAGAAGAGAGTAAACAGTGTATGCACACACTGACACAGTCCATTCACGTTCTAAGTTCAGCATTATAATAGTCAGTATAAAAGTCAGCAAAAGTTGCATTAATACTGTATGATGCTTAAGTTAACCCAAAAAACAAGCTAGTCTGCTGTCTTTAGATCATAATAGTGTGCTAATTGTGTTTTCCCATAAACATGTATGGTTTCGTGGGCACCCCAGTAGCTCACCTGGAATGCTGTTGCTCTCGCTTTCCCGCCACCCTGTCTCTCTTTGACTGTTTTAACCAATAAGTGGCAAATTCCCAAAACATGAATCAGTGGCTGGATAGAATATAGACAGGAATGTAGGGCAAAGTGACAGCCTGTACTACTTGAAGCTGCATCTAGTGATGTCTGTCCTCTAGAGGGCAGAAGAACTTCAACACAAGCTGACTGACGAACATCGCGGACATATCGTCTCCTTATACATTTGTTATTATGAGTAATGCGTTTGCTGTATCAATTAGAAAATGTCTACTTAGACATCAAGCAGACAAAGTGATCATCTCTTTGACCTACTGAGATCTGTTCACTGAAATCGGATCTAATCAAAGACCATCTGTATACGTCCACACTCTGTCTAAAAATAACTGCTCCCACGTCGTCTGGACTGTAAATCAGGCCTCCCTCATGTCTTATTTTGAATTTCATGTGACTGCAGCTGATATGTGTTCCCACATCCAAATGATTTAAATCAAACTGAAAGCACACCTGCGTCTTTAGCACACAGCTTTGTTTGACCTGTTGGTATAATAACAGATGAAGTTAGTTACCGACTCGCACCATCAACCTTGGTAGCGTCTGCTTGTTCCCTCACATGCGCTGATAGAAAGCTCTCAGTGGTACATGTAGAACGTAGGAGTTGAACAGTGTGACAGATATGAGAATTAAGTGCCATTTGTCTCTGTGTTGCTGACCCAGCTGATGTCTGACTTTCTCTCGTGTGTGTGCGTGTGTGTGCGTGTGTGTGTGCGCGTGTATAGAACTCACCCCTGGAAGTAGATGATGAAGGATTTGTCATCCGAGCTGACAGCACACCCAATGATATCCTTTTATCTGCTTACACGTGTTCTGGCAGGATAATTCGCCATAATATCTGATTATAACTTTTTAACGTTTCCTTCTTTGATTAATAATTGCTTATACTCATGCTTTGTTTTAGGTGAGCCATGTTATTGTCAACAGATGTTTGTGCCACATTGTGAGTACAATTACAAAAGAAAAACAAGGCACTGGAGCTCTGATGGATGGATGAACATAAGTCTTACAAAAGATCTGGTGTTTGCCCACTACAAGTTATGTCTCAACAGTTCTTATTTATTGGTGGCCTCTGTTAGTCTGCCAACAGTCAAAAATATTCAATTATATGAACCACAAAAAAAACTTTAATCTAGATGTTAAAAACTTGAGCCTTCTTTAAGTTCACTTCAGTTGGAAAGTAAGACTTAGGTTTGTGAAATCCTTCAGACATCTTATCTCACTCACATGACGGATGCAATTTGCTCCAAATCAAACCTCACGAGACCACTGAATGGACTCTAAGAAGGCACTTAACTAAAGTGGAGGCGTTTTTTTTTTTAATTGAAGCGGAATCAGAAGTTTGGAGGTGAGAGGCGGGTTTAACTAATTTAGTAACACAAATGGCCACATTCATGGCTTCATTAACTGTAGAGCTCTAGACAATAATAAAGGTCTCTAACCTATTTGTTGACTCAAATGATTAGATGCATCCCCCTCGTTAAGTAGAGACGAGGTAAACGCCTGCATGAGATATGAATGAATTGTCCTCTTAACCTAACGCTCCAGCCCTGATCCATCTGTCAGCAGCAGCTCTCCGTCCTAACGGCTCCGAGATAACAACTCTTCCTGACTTTGTCATCCCTCACATCGAGCCCTCCGCCTGCTCAGAATAATGGTTCACATTCATTAAAACGCCCTCATGCTGCACATGTTCTTCAGTTTCTCTGAATCTTCTAATGAACACAAATGCACCTCACGTGATGTGACGCAACTCTTCCACGTGCAGCAGAGTGCAGTCCAAACAAAGAGGAAGGGGAGGTGACTTTTGTTTTGGGGTGATGGTGCTGCAGGATGTGGCGGTTTGGCTATTTGAAGCTCTGCAGGAGTCACCTCCAGCACACTCTGTGGTGCTTCTGCATCTGTTTTCATATCTGTCTGCTTGCCTGCATTTCTTACAGTCTTACACTGAAACAAAACTACTCTATTTGCTCTTCAAGGAAGTCACAGCATTTGTCCAAATAGTAATATTCACTCATGAACAGGGGGAGAAAATACTTCCACCTGCTGGTTTTTAATGTACACTCGTGCATTTTTCAGTCTCATTACTTTTATTTTTGAATATTGTTCTTGTTGGATTCTACAGTACTTCACAATTTCTTTGCAATTTTGTTCTTAAAATCTCACATAGCACACAGATTGAAGAGATCTGTATAAAATAAAGTAATAATCTCACACTACTTTTATCAGAGCATCAAATTAGCAGTTTACGTTTAACTTTTATCATTTTAATCATTTTAAATGTAGTCATTGCGTACATTTGATGAAAATCAGTTGTATGAATGACGGAGTGGTTAAATGTGATATTTACTCGCCTTTCAGTAAACTAACAGACGCTCTGCACATTGTCCGTAATTTAATTTTTCTCTTATTGCTTGTGGAAACATAACAGTAGTGCTCAAGAAGTAATTATGCTTCTCTATGCTTCTCACTTTTGTAATGTTGTAAATGTGCAAGGTCATTCTCTTCATGTACTCAGTATACAGGGGAACAGATGCACATAAAAAGACAAAAAACTAAAATAGTAAAGTGCAAGTAGTATAAAGTTCAGTAAAATTAACACTCTTTGCATTAAGAGTTTTGGATAATGAAACTGTTGTATAGTTGAGCCAAAACAATCGTATCATAGTTTAATGTTAAACGGGGGCCTCTCTTTGTCAATAATGCTTTCCTATCTTGATGTGTTCTTGCCAAGCATCACTTTTCATTCTTTGCATGCAGTCTGAGCTTGTTCTCCTTGACCATCCTCTCTTCTTCACGCTGCTCTGAGGAGAAGGAGAACAACTTTTACTCCAGTGACTCGGACTTTGATGACGAGGAGCCCAAGAAGTTCCACATCCAGATCAGACCGGTCGCCAGCAGCAATCGCAGTAACTCCGCTGCCACAGAGAAGGAGCTGAAAGCCACTGTTGGGGCGCTCACCCTGCCGCCCAACAGAGGGGTCCGGCAGCAGGTTGTTTGTTTTTGTGCTTCTGTTTTATTTTTTTGTGCTTCTGTTTTATGTTCTTTGTGTGTTTCAGCATCCCTGTGGTAAATATTCTTAATGCAGGTTCCCCTTACTTAGCTAATCCCTGATCCAGGTCCATTCCCCAAAGAAACTCTGGATGTAGCTACGTGTACCTCACCTTTAGAATATTTACCTCAAATACTCTGTCCTCAAGGTCTAGAAGGAAACACTCAAATCTCCACCTTTTCTCATGACCAGAAAGTAAAAAAGAAAGTCAGACTTTACATGTTTAAGGATAATTCCTTCCAATATCATTCTATATGTTCCTTATTGCCAACAACCCTCATGGAAAAAACAAACTAACAAGTAATTGATCCTACTGACTACTGTCTACTATTAAAACACATCACTGTTCCACTGGGACACATTCATTCATTGCGATATACATGGGTTCCATATATTAGTTTGAGCTGCTTTAAATACCCACTAGAGACGTAAATGCATGTTCATTTGCAGCTGAAAATAACCCTGAACAAGCAATAATTCCTATTTCATTGACTAAAATCTACAATGTCCAGTTGTTGTCTTAATAATTAGGAACCTGGAGTCAGAAAGCTCATCGCCACTAACAAGGCAGGGGAGTCAGAAAGTACTTTATAGACTGATTCATTCATTGTTTTTTTTGTTTTTTTGACAATAACAAACGTAGAACAGCACCATCCTTTTCTTCTACATGAGTCCACTGTATTGACCCAATCTGTCCCCCTCTCCTGACTTTCAGGTGATAAATAAGCGGCATCTCTCCAGTAAGTTCAAACAAATGTGTATGAATGTTTTTTTCTGATTTTGGAGTCATTTTTAGTGTTTGTAAATCAGTAACAAATGTCCTCCCTGTACTGTATCTTATAGTACAGACGTCTGAAAGCTGTTGTCTTCTGTTGTGTGTCTGCAGGGAACTCGAGTACTGCAGGAGGTCGATCAGAAGAGGGCGAAGTTGCCTCCCACGGGGGTGAGTCTGGTTTTAGTCTCTCGTTTTCAATAACTGTCTGTCTGTCAAGCTCTTCTTTGTATATATTTTAGTATAGAGCTGAAAGTTTATTATTCAATTATGAATCAGGAAATAACTTGGGGACTTTATAATATGATTGTTTTTAGCTATTTCTGGACATTCTATAGACCAAAAGAGGATTAGCAAGAAATAATCTAATTTGTTTAGTAGTATTAGTATCATCTAATGTCATGTTACCTGCAATGGAGGTTTGAAGTTTCTATCCGTACATTTGTTTGTGGTTCATTTGAAAAGGATGAAGACCATTTCTCACACACGCTCTCACAGAACCACATCTGTAGGATTAAAGACATTTTTTGCTTCCTGCAGCATCTCTCTACCTCCAGCCTGTATAGCCATGGTTCCCTCTAGACAGACAATCTCTTCACTGGCTGACCTTGCATGAACAGCCAGCCTCCATTAGTCACGCCCGGCCCTCTGCTCGTGCTCCACAGCATGTTTTATCACCCAGAGGTTTGTTAGCCGGCAGCAGGTTAGGCTGGAGGCTACAACCTGCTGCTTCACTGCAGCGGGGAGTCTCTCTCGCTTAAGTCAAGAAGCAGCAGGATTAACGATGAGCATCTGATTAAAGCAGTTGCTCTGCAGCGGTGGCTGGAGCTGAGTGAGACCGGGCTCATTGCTGGTATTTATCACAGAGAAAGTAATGGGTTTTCCCTCATGTTGTCCTATCTCAGTCAATCTCAGCCTCCCATCAACGCTGCGACGAAGAAAACCATGCTGCTGATTTAGTCCTGATTAGGAAACATTCTCTGCAGTGAGCCTGTATCTCAGTGTGTGTGTGTGTGTGTGTGTGTGTGTTACAGATGGAGAGCAGGAGGGCCTGCGCAGGTCCACCTCCAGTCCTGATCACAGCAGGTGAGATTGCTATACCCTCCATATCTCTTGTCCGTCTCTGAGTGGTGGAGAGGTAGACTTATTTGAAGGTTAAATTGCATCATCCGTGGCCTTTTCAGGGGTTTGAAGCACCTCAGGTTTCCGTCACCGTCTTGTCTTCGTCACCTAACTTCTCTCACTGTTCTCTCCTCCGTCTTCAATTCCTCTGCAGCTCAATTAGAGCACCAACGTTTACTTTTACTTGATTTTAGTTGTGTTTTATTTAAAGAGAAACAAAACTAAAAAAACAGACCAGAGCTGTCGATACCTAAACATTACACCCATAAGTCTTATTACAACGTGGTCGGCATTGATCTGCTGCACCACTGTACGGGGACGGCTTTCCACAAGATTTAGAAATCTGCCTCCAGGAATTTGCTTCCATTCAGCCACAATAGTTTATTATTAATGAGTTTCAGGGCGATGAGGTCTGGCCTGTAGTAGGTGTTCCAGTTCATCCCAAAGCTGGTGGATGAGGTTTACTTCCGGGCTCTCTGCAGGCCAGTCAAGTTCTTCTACACCTGGTTGTATGCTGGGAGGCATTGTCCTATTTAAACAGGAGAGAGTCTTCATCAAGCTGTAGCCACTAAGTTGGGAGTACACTATCGTCTGAAATGTCATTATATGCATAAATATTTCCTTTAATTGGAACTAGCAAGCCAAACTCGGCATCATTGATGCAATAATCGTTAAAATATGCAGACGCACGTTATCAGACAGTTTCTCCTGGAAGGCATTCATAGTGCCCCCCCCCCCCCTCTGTTGTTCCCATGAACAGTGACAGAAATAGTTGTGTTAAGAGTGGAAAAACGAGAGATCTCGGGAGAGGAATCCACCATTGGCTTTTTTCTCACCTCCACATAGCTGGCCAGTCACGGTGTGATGTGGGTGTGAATATCAGATTGTTGGTTTTGGAAAGTTACGCAAATGGTCGGACACAGATGGAAGGAAACACTACTTACACAAAAATGTTATCTTTTAAAAAAGGTACAGAGAAAAATGCACGGTTTGATTGCTGTTTATATTATTTCTTCCTCTGTTCTTCAAAGTCATCTTCTCATACACCCACCCCACTTTTAAAAAATATTCTATTCATGAAGTTTCCTTTTACAAACTCGAAACAATAAAGAAACGGATACAAAAGCAGAAAAACACATACAGTGGGTAAGCTTTTGAATACAGGTGCTGCATCTTTGTTCCACAGGCTTAGAATGCTCTCTTTAGTGCGTGCCGAGCTGTATTACAGCGCCATGGTTCAAGCCCACGGTGTGTTGTGATCCACCTGTTCCTGGGCAAGGTTTTTATGCCTCTGAGTGGAGATGAAAAATGTCACGGCAGATGTTCATTGAGCTTTGTGCGATGCCACAGTAGATGAGCTGAGGATCCATCTGCACTTTTGCATTCAGGGCAGGTTGAAGAGATTGAAGGGTAAAATACGGTTGACACAGGAGTAGTGTCATCTATTAACTTCCTCATATCGGATTAACTGTTCATTAATAAAATAGGAGTTTATACTCTGCAGGCACTTATTCCAGCATCTGAGAAAATTTTACCCTACGATCCGACTCCCAGGTTTCTTTAAGATTTGTTTTCCCTGTAAATCTACAAATCTGGATACAAAATTTTGTTTTTGAGCTCGGAGTGTGTAGTTTTACAAGAGAGTGGGTATGTTTCGAAACTCTGTAACTTCCATTGGACATAGTTTCTTATCTGCAGATATGCCATGTTTCTCTTTCAGTTGAGCAAAGGAGGCATGCCCACACTTCTATTCTCACTTTATCACTTCTCCTCCTCATCGCTCCCTCAGTCACTCCTCTACTCTCCCTGATTTCGTTTCTCATTCCCTCCTTGTTTGTACCAGGTTGAGCTCCACAGCGTCTGGTTCAGACAGTCTGTTCGGACCACCGCTGGAGTCGGCCTTCAAGTCCAAAAGCTTCGACGGTCGGGAACAAATCAGAGAGCAGAGCGCTTTTGGTGCCTCTGAATGTAAGAGTTGTTTATATATTTGTTTTGTTCATATTGATATTATTGGCCCAAATATAAGTCAATCTCCCCTTTTTTACAGGTTTTTTTGATAAACTAGTCTAAGTGGGGGGGTTTTCCCTAAAATAGTCCTCATGCCTTATCTTTTATAAAAGTCAAACATGAAATACTTAAATAAATCCCACATTGCTGCAGCTTATCCAGGTACGTTAGCACACATTCCTGATTAATATTTTCATTGAATATTTTAATGAATGATTTTCGGTGGCAGTTAGCATTTTTCAGACTTTTTTCTTATTTCTTTTAAAGTATAAACAAAAACACAAATAAGAGGCAATGACACACAGGCATAAACTGTACATTAAGCCACATTCAGGAGGGCAACATTACTAAATAATACTCTACTTGGTTGCAGCCGAGTCATTTGATATGTTTAATAAATGGACCCCAAATCGTAACAAATGTACAGCATGAGTCAGATGAGGAGTACTTCATTTTCTCCAAATAAAGGCAGGAAATCATACAGAACATTCAGAAAAACCCAAAGTAGACATGTCTGGATCAATTTGTTTCCCAATAACTATACAAAATAAATTAAATATGTCCTCCCAAGCCCAGAAAAGACAAGTCTTTTTATACATGCGTCCTATGATCCAATCAAGTCTGGTCTTTTAAAGTGTACTAGCTGAAGTCTATTATTAATGGAAGTCTTTAATCCTCCATCCCATCATCCCAAAGCTCATCAGATAACTCGGAACCAATTTCCAAGCCTCCCTTAGATGACTAAAACAGATTGGGATATCAGATGTTTACAGGTAGGTAATGTGTCAAACTGAACCAGAGACTGCTGAACAACATTTCTAACCTGCTGGAAACAAGAAACGACCATGAGAGACACCAAATCAGGCTGTAGCTGCCTGAAAGAGGTTGACAAAGAGCTCTCTGAGGCTTTTTGGTACTTGAACTTTCATGAATATTTAAATAGGCAGTCCTCGAATATAAATGACCCCCATTTTTCAAAATGTAATATCCAGAAGCTAATATTGTGATATATTTGGGCCAAAATGGTAAATTGAGTTTTCTTTATTTTACTTTTTTGTACTGAAACTTTAATTTACCACTGAGTTCTTTGTGTCTGACTGGTGTTGATCACCTCTGATGTTCTGCTCTGTATTAATACCCTGTGATGTGTTTGGTGTGCGTGTGTCAGATGCTGCCTTCTCGTCCGACTCCTCCTCTCCAGAGAACGTCGAAGACTCTGGCCTGGACTCACCTTCCCATCAGCCCCTTGGGCCCTCCCCCGAGCCGGTGGGTTGGGCGGCTTGGCCTCCTGTGTCGCAGAGTAAAGAGCAGATGCAAACACTCGGACGACCCGTGGACCCTTTCCTCTCTGCTTTCCGTGACCCTTCACCTGGTCGGAGTCCTCACCTGCAGGAGAAACCTGCCAGCGTCTGGTCCGTCGCCTCGTCGCGTCCCTCTCGTGTCCCCCCAGACATGGACCTTTCATCCATGCGGTTCCCTGCTTTCTCCCAGTCCCTCCCACCGCCCGAGGTGGAGTTGTCAGTGTGGAACTGCAAACACATCCCCCCCGAGGACCCCTTCATCGCTGCGTTTGAGAGGACTGTCACCCAGGAGACATTAAACCTATCTGACGCCTGGGCGCGTCCACCGCCTCGCCCAACCCAGGAGGGCAGGCGGATGGATGTGCGAGTGGAACCGTTCTCCATCGCCCTCACCGACACCAAGACACTCCCAACCCCCCCCTCCTCCTCTTCATCCTCCTCTAATCGTAAAAACAGAGACAGGAAAAGAGACCAGAGCCTCCCTCCTCCTGTTATTTCTGATGACCCGTTTGCAATCACAATGATTGGCAGCCCAACGCACCAGTCGACGCTGGCTGTAGCAGCTGGGTTAATCTCTGCACACACCAGCAGCAGCAGCAGCAGCAGCGTTGGTGGTGGCGGCTCTACCAATAGGCTGGTACTCGATGCCAATTCAAGCTCTTTGCCCACAGCTCAGTCCAAGAAGGAGCTCATTCACTGGAACTCTTTCCACAACCCGTTCAGTGAAAGTGTCTCCGGAGGGCAGAGCAGCTCCAAAACACAGAACGAAGGAGGAGGGAAAGGAGACGGAGGTGGCGAGAGGAGGAAACATCGATCATCAGACAGTGAGCCACGCAGGAACGCCCCTCCACTCACAAGGCATTCAGGACCACAGGAGGATCTGTGTTTTTCCACAGATAAGGATCAAGACTGCCTGGATTTGAACACTCAGATATCGTGCAGTACCGGCTCGCACAAGGGTACTGATTTATTTATTTATTTAAAATCTTTTTTCACCATTAACTTTTTATTGAGGTTGGCAGCAAGTTTATCTTTTCATCATTTTAGGGTTACAAGAGTAGACATAGTAAAAGTGTAAAAAATTAAATGATTAAAACAATTTAAATGAGGTATATACAAAAGTGAGATATAGCATTAACATGAGGATCTGAGCTATGATTGAAATCTGAGTCAGTGTCCAAACAGGAAACTAGCTTTTAATCTAAAATTCATACACTGCAATCTCTACCATAACATTTACATTCATCCATTTCCAAAGCAACGTACATATGAGGAACAATCCAAATCACAGTAGATCAAGGAGGAGGAGCCAAAGTGCTGCAACACTCGGTTGCAGGTGTATGAGGTAACGCACAGGTGCATAGAAGGAGAGATGCATAGAGAAAGGAGGAAGAGAGATCATATTAGATGAGTAAGAAGAGAAGAGGTACCACTTAAAAAGCATTTGTAAACCCAAGAAGGATCCTGTTGAAGCGAATCGAGTTCAGTATCTTGTTCCACCACCAAGTAGAGCAGCAGTAGAAGAGTTTGGATTGAAGGTTTCTGCCTCGCAGTAACGGTATGATTAGTCGGCGTTCATTTGCAGATTCGTACTGAATGAGAAGGTGCTAGTGAGCACTTTATAGGTGATCACTAACGACTTGAGCTTAATGGAGAGTAATGAAAAGTAGAGTGACATTTTGGACCATTTGAAGAGGTTTTGCTGTGCCAGAACGGCGTTGCAGCAGTCAAGGAGAGAGACGGCCAGTGCCTGTACGACAATCAATCATTCAAATCTGAAATTTTAGCTGTTTACATAATTCACAAGGCTGTAATCGAACCAGCCATAATAACTGAAAATGCACATTATGATATATTTAGTATTTAAGATCTACTGCTTTAATAAACCAAACCATCTACCCAGAACTGTCAGATCGGTTATATGAATAAAAACGTTTTCATTTACAATGCAGGACGTTCACGCTTCTATTCCGCACTTCATCAGTTCACTTCAGATTTCTAATTAAAGCGCCTCTCTGCATTGAGTCAGTCTTTCTAATTAGTCAATATGAAGCCTAATCTTTCCAGCCATCGTTAGTTTAGTGCTTATTCAGCTTTCATTTGTTAAATTAGCTGCAAGGATTTTTTTTTTACCTCGATGAGGACAGAACATCTTAGCTGGGATAGTTTTATGGTTATTATTCAACTGAGGATTTATTTAATCTCAGGTTGACGGAGTGATGACGATGCACTGACTTTTGATCAACAAAACCTGTTTTGATTGATTAATCATCAAAGGTTATCGAGCAGAAAGGCTAAACATGACCTGGTTCTCCGTTTTAAAATGTGAGGATTCGATGCTTTTTATGTCTTCAGTGATCGTAAACTAAATATCTGAACATTTTGAACTCCTTAGGCTTCAGGAAATTGTTTGTTTGTGAAAAAACATATATCTATTTGTAGACCAAGCGATTAATTGATTAATGAAAATAATCATTGGTTGCAACGGATTTTGTAAGAATTAGAGTTATAAAGCATATTAAAATGCTCATGTCATCATAAATACTTACATATTTTGTCAGTAGAGATGAAACAATTACTTTAAAGTTCTTACACGCCATAAAGTCCCATCGACAAGTATATCAAATCAAAAACTCTGAAATCCCATACACTGTCGTGTGGTCACTTATATAAAGCTGGGTTCGGTAACATTGCACGCTATATTTAAAACATGTCTCCAACCGAAACACAGAGCTGAGTGCTGCCAACTCATTTCCACTGAACGTAGCTAGCAGCACTAAGCCTCAACAAATCTAGTGAGAAACGCTGACATCCCGTCCCTCAAAAGCCACTCCCCCAAAAGGATCATAATGAACTTAAACAACAAACATGGCTAGTGTTAGTACTCGCAGCTGTCGGGATGTAATGAGAATTTCAACAAATATATAACAAAATTTGTTCTAAAATGCATTACCCACCTGAGCATCATGGAAAATGAATGTCATATCATCATTAATGTTTTGGGGGGTCTTTCTTACTGAAGAGGAACATCTATGAAGAATATTCAGATACCAACAGGATGCTAAATCCCCCAATTAATCCAACACTAATATAATGTGGTCATGTGCCAGCGCGGCGTGTTCCGCTGGTCTCCGGCTGTTCTGAGAACGACTTCTGACTGATTTTAGAGGATGTCGTTCATGATCTGATGTCAGATTGTTGTTTTGATGCGTTTGTAAGGGTCCAAGCACAACTTCAGACGGGACACGACTGAAGTGGTTGCAGCTGCTCCTCCGAGAGCAACCCGAGCCAATAGGGCGTCGGGCCGACTCGGCGGCTGCGAGAGAGTAAGTTAACTTCTCAGCTAATTGAATAAATTCATATTTTCTTAACATTATGTTCGCCCTGATACTGTGTACTGTATTATTTAGATATGGAGAGTATCAAAATTATAGACATAACCTGTCACAGTTTTAGTGCAGACAATTGTTTTCTGCAATACGAAGAACTGAATGAATCTAACTCACTAAGCTTGTGATTCTTTATCAATATTACATTTCTGGTGGTTCTAACATTTCTAAAATGTCATAATTGTTAATATCATATATGACCAAATTCATGTAAACCGTATAAATGATAACAGCCCCCACTGATGCAGTAGGTCAGTAAGTCTTCTATATGAAAATTGAGCCATTATTGCCAATTCTTGTGTTTCAGTCCCGGTCTCTGTGCTCCTCCCCTCTGCCGGAGCCCAGCCCCTCCCTCACCTCCTCCTCCTCCTCCAGCCCCAGTGAGTGGGGTCCTCAGGCCAGGGACACCGACTGGGGGGCTCAAAACCGAGCGCCTAGTCCCGCCAGAGTAGGCCAAGCCTCACCTCTGCCTTACCAGCACCAGGACCACCAACAAAGACAGTGTAAGCCTCAGCGCATAAATAAAGTTCCACTACAGGATGGATGTTTCAAAAAAAAAAAGACATGGAAAACAGTAATTTAATTTAACAGTTAAACAAACAAGATATGTGTTAATTCATGAGCTGTACATGTGCTGGCAGGCAGATTTTGTTACCTTCAAACAGAGCCAGGCTAGCCGGCAATTCCCAAATGTCAAACTATTCTTTTAAACGTGACTTAATGCATGATAACAGCAGGATTATCACATTTGTTCTCCGCAGTACACCTGTCGCGAGGTCCCAGTCCCATTTCGCTCAGCACACAGGAGGCCTGGCCGGTGGCAGCAGCCATAACAGAATATATCAACGCCTACTTCAAAGGGGGACAACACAACCGGTCAGCATGAAACCTTTTTCTTAAAGATCAAAGAAAAACATATCTTGCACATCCTCTGCTCTTAAGGAGGAACTCTGACTTTACTCATCAAAGTGTGTTTGCAGGTGTTTCACAGTGTTAGAGACAAGTCTGATTCCTGTTTTGCCCGGTGACTTTATTGTCCTGTTTGTGTCAGTGAGGTCAGTCACATGATCTACATGTCATGACTTGGTGTTCCTGTCATGCTCTACAGCAGCGGTTCCCAAACTTTTTAGGCCACGCACCCCCTTCTACATCCCAACCGGGTTCACGCACCCCCATCCCCCACACCTTAAAAAAAATAAAAAATCAACAGAGCCTATTTATAGCCGCATAACAATCGGACCAATGAGAGAACAGTTTCAGATTTAGTCCGCTGTTAAATGTTGCAGTGTGAACACAAACCGAACAAAGGGGCAACTGCAACATTGTATCATATTAATCCCCGAATCGGAACAAAGCAAACGAACTACGGCTTTAAATTTAAGGTAAAAGGTGGTGGTTACACTGTAATTACTGTGTAATTAGCACTCAGAAAATGTGTGAAAAAGAAACAACGGCGATTGACATAAAGGCACTGTGTGCCCTGAAACACTGCAACAAAGTTTCAATCCATTTCAGTTACACAAGGCGTCACTTTTAAAGAGCAATAAGGATGGTGAGGGCACAGGCTCAGAGGCAGATTGCATCACATTTAATTTACAATTAATCATACATAGCGGTTACATTAATCTGAATCGAATTACAATAAAGTTACTCTCTCCAATCATACATTCCACCATCTCTCTGGCAGCTGGCAAGCACACGTCTTCGGCGATTGTGTGCGGTAGCCCCTTTCTTGCTATTCTGTGACCAGATATGAAGCCCGCAGTGCGTGTTTTAGACCCAACACATGAATGAGACTGCAGTTGTTTTGGGCTGTTTTGTAACTCCTCCGATTTCGATATTAAAAAATGTAAGGGGCTTTTGACTTGCACTGGCATGCTTGGTGTTCAGGTGGTGACGTAAATAAGAGGGCTTCAGACAGCTGTTAGCCAGAACCTCACTGCACACCACGCACTGTGGCTTTGGGCAATCTGCATTGCCAATCCAAGTGAAGCCCAGACACAGATACCTTTCATCATGTTTCCTCTTTTTATTCCCCAGTCTGATGCTCACTCTCCTTTCCTCCTTTTTCACCTTGACTCCGCGATGGGCCTATGTGCTCCCGATTTGTCTGTGCTATCCCTTCCTCCTTTTCGGCCTCCTCCGTCTCATCTTTCTCTGACTCATGCTCGATTTCTTCTCCCGGTCTCTCCCCAACGCACCTCTCCGTTTCTCTCGCCTCCGATTCCTCTCTCTCTCTCTCTGTCCCTCTCCTCTTTTATGACTGATAGCTTCAGATGTCCCACCTGACAGTTTCCCCGATTTCAGCCAATTTTGCATATTTGCATGAATGTTGCTGAATGAATGAAGTTAGATGTTTGCTGACGTTAGCTGCACAAGCTAGGCTACGTGTATGTGTGTGTACGTAAAAGACAGTCTGGCGGCAGGAGCAGAAGTGCATTTATTTATTAAATTGTAAGTTTTTAAGTTTAAATGTTACAAAGGGAATTTTTATAATTCATGTTTTTGTGAAAAATCCCACTTAAATTTTTTAAAATTATATTTAATATCAATTATTAGACCACCATTACATTTTTCCTCTCGTGCACCCCCTGGAGGCAGCTCGCACCACACTTTGGGAATCCCTGCTCTACAGGAACGCTCCCTCACAGCTGCAATCGGACTCTACTGGGGTGTTACTGCTCATGTGTGGAGTCTGATAAATGATCTCTCTTATTCTGCTGCATTGACTGGTGGGGTTCCAATTGTATTAATTTTTTTGGGCCGCTTATTAACAGGATTAATGTCGACTTGCGTTTCCTTCTTTCTCCAGCTGTCTGGTGAAGATCACTGGAGACCTGACGATGTCCTTCCCTGCTGGCATCACCCGGATTTTCACAGCCAACCCCAACGTTCCCGTGCTCAGTTTCAGACTGGTGAACATTTCAAGGATCGATCACTTCCTGCCAAATCAAAAGCTGCTCTACAGGTCAGCTGCCGTCCGCATGTTGAGTCACAACTGTGTTTTAACTGTAATGCAATCCTTACCGCCCTGCCTCTGTGTCTCTGCAGTGATCCGTCTCAGAGTGACCCAGACACCAGAGACTTCTGGTTCAACATGCAGGCTCTGCAGCTCTACCTGCAGAGAGAGGCCGAACTCAACCCTCAGGCCTCGTACTACAACATCGCGCTGCTGAAGTATCAGGTCAGCATATTTGGGCCATTTTAATACAATAAATATTCAATAATGCCTTGTTTTTCAGGTCCCTAATTCACACATTTTTCCCCGAAGTTTACTGTGAAACAGGAATATCCTTGAAGGAAAAGCTCCTTTAAGTAAATCTTCCCTCACTATCCGTTTATTATTGGAAACTTTATTCTTAATATCTTTTGAATTTTATTCTTCCTTGTAGACAAATATCACATTTCTTCTTTTCTCTGACTTGAGGACTTTGCGCTACTGATAATTGGAAGTGTATTACCTGAACACTTTCTCTATTTTAACTACTGTCAACTCAGTACATGTCGTCATAGTTTCTTACACCTTCAAATAATACATAGTGTTCTCAAAAACTAGAAATTAGGGACCCGTAAAATAAAGTGTTACCAGATTTTGTAAAATCCATTCCTTCAGTTGACTTTAGTCAAACCTTAAGATGCCTCCAAACCTGCTCTGGAATTTATTTTTGTCTTAAAACCCCATGTAAACAAAACTTCTCCATTGTTTCCTCAGGTGTCTTCTCAGGACCCGGGTAGGGCTCCCCTCCTTCTGTCTGCAGAGTGTCAGCGTAGCGGCACAGTGACGCGGGTGTCCCTGGATTACCACTGCTGCCCCGCCACCGCGCCCTCCACCCAGCTCGCCGCTGTCCAGGTGCTGCTGCCGCTCGACCACACTGCCACAGATCTGCAGTGCCAGCCTCCCGCCTCCTGGTGAGTGATGATGTAATAATGGATGTGGCAATGAGCAGTTTCTGATGACTGTCAGGTCAGTTGCCTGTAACCATGTGTTATGGTCTGCCCTGTTATTGACTTGATTATTATAATCCAAAAGATTATTTGTAATGCCCAACTAGAATTATAAATGAACCATGTAATCATAATATAACAACACAGGCCTTATCACAGTCATATGTATTTTAATGATGCACTTATTGCGATTGTTTTCATTATCGATAATTTTCTTAATTAATCGCTTGTTCTATAAAATGTCAGAAAGTATTGAAAAATGCCCTTCAAGGTGACATCAACACTTCAAAACCCAAAGATATATTCAAATCAATCGTCTGAGTATCAATCAAGGTATTGGAAAATGTAAAACGACTTGATGATGGTGCTTTAAAAGTACCAGAGTACACACTGATTGTGACTGGTAACACGTCATTTAAGAATGTAAAGGTGACTCTGCTGGAACAGGAACGGGAGAAAGGTGTAGACTGAGAAGCCGGTTGGGCCTCACTGACTCTTTATTTTCCTCTGCAGGAACGCTGAGGAAAGACGGCTGCTGTGGAAACTACCAAACATCTCCCCGACCAACCACAGCAAAGGTCAGAGCGCTGCTGCTCTCTTTTTACCTCTTTGCTTTCATTTCTTCTACCCCTTATTGCACTAGGGAAGTTTAATACAGAGAGGGTAGCCTACACACACAGATGCACACACTCACACCTAGTCATCTGTCTAACTTACAGCCTGTTTTGTGTCGATCATAAGCTGCCATCTCATTAAAATTAGTGCTACTTCTACTTCATTTCCTTCTTGTCGGATTCACATTGCGTCAAACAGGAAGTGAGTAATTAAGATCTCTGCATTCCGCATCCTTCTCTCCTAAAAAAGCTAAAGTCTGAAGGCGTGTCATTACCTTTTTAACAGCAGCATTAGCATCTGAACGTGCCAGCTGCTCTCATCCACCAACACAAAGACGAGCATCAAATGTTCCTCTTCTATTCTGTCAAATGGATTGTGGCTCATATTTCACATCGTTAATGGTGCACAGATAAGAGATGATATAAAAGAACCTTTCAAAGCTCTATTTTAAGATGGGAAAGTCTCAAATGTAATAAAATTGCTTGAGCTTGAGGTTTCCTTCACCTGACTGTATCAGACTCCCACATGTATTCTTTTTATTTCATTCTTTTTTTTCATCTAAGGATATATTACTACCTCGCTGCGAGGCTGCAGGCTGGGAGAACACAGAAAAAGAGACTCTTCATAGTTGTCAGTGATGAATGGGATTTAAAATGTTTATAGTTTGACGTCTTCGCCAGTTTATGAGCCAAAGACAAAGCACTGAAACGTCATCGTAACTCCTCCCTGCCCCTGAAAAATAATGTTTCTTTATGACTAAAATGTTCAAAAAGTGCTGTTTTACATGAATGATGTCTGGCAGTGTTGGTCAGCGATTCATTCATTTTACTGGACGTCTTGTGAACCGTTTGTTCAGTACTTAATACAAAAATGAAATAGAATAAAATACCCATTGATGATGTAAGATAAAAGTCAAAATAGTAATTCTAATAATAACTTAAATAATCTTCTTCTTTTGAGATAAGATTTAGTGATTTAGAAGATAATCGTGAGACTGCGTCTGAAGTATTTCACTGCAGGGAAATCACAGTGCTGTCGATTCGTTGTCCATATAAGGCATATAATCCTGTAATGAACAATGTTCTCTCCACTTCTTTCTTCAGCTTGCATTCATACTGTTTAGCACTTAGACAAGTAGCAGAAGCTGCATGTTTTAACTGTTCATCCATTACTTCTAGCTGTCTAAATAAAGTAATCCTGCGCTGTTGTGAAGAGCACGAAGAAGCTGCTTCTTTATGATAATCGGAACCATACCTTAAAATCAAAGCGTTAATTTTATTATTAAAATGACTCGCTGTATTCATGAACCTTATCCTTCATGTTTCTCTTGTATCGACGTCTCTTTGCCTGCTGGTGTTGTCCCAGGCTCAGGGACTCTGTGTGCCAGCTGGCAGTGCCTGGAGGTCCCCCGCGGTCCTCCACCCAGCCTGGCTGTTCAGTTTGTGGGCTCCGGGGCCTCGCTGTCGGGCATGGACGTGGAGCTGGTGGGCAGCCGCTACCGCATGTCGCTGGTCAAAAAGAGATTTGCCACAGGTGATACTGAACTCGCACATCGATACACAAAGGAAATCGTTTCACTTTATTGGTATACTGCATGTATATTTATATTTACAGTATACTATAATGCTTTGCCATTATTTTTTTATGACATAATATACTATATTTTGATATTTGTTTATCAAATTTACATTAGTCATTTAGCAGATGTTTTTATTCAAAGCGACTTACAATAAGTGTATTCAACATAGGTATTCAAGTGGACTCTAGGCAGAGGCGCTTTCTCTTAGTAAATGTATTCTGTTTTATAGGGAAGTACATGGCCGGCTGCTCCTTGTGAACCGTGTAAAGGACCATCACTGCAGGTTCAGAGAACTTTGCACTTTTTCCAAGTCCAGTGCCAGACGGAGGAGAGAGAGGATTCATGGTGAGAAAATAAAGCTGAAGACTGACACCTCAACCTTGAAGGACAATGTGCACTTACTTCTGACAGTGTCCTGCTGTTTTAGGACCAAGCCTTTTCTTCTTCTTTGCCTCTAATTTAAGTTGTGTGTTGTACACTAAATTGTCCTGCCTTCGGCAGCAGGACAACTCTTTTCTATTGATTCTCCTCTGTTCAGTGTGTTCTGAATGTCAGAACCTTTCTTGGATTAGAGGGGAAAGGAAAACATGTGAATAAAGTTATCTGGAACCGAGTTGAAACTAGGATTTTTAAATTATGTAAATACTGTAGAAATCTCTGGCGCATCTCAAAAGATCAAACGAGTCATGCGTGAGCAAAATATCTTCTACCAAACCTTAGAAAAAAATGTTTGTAAATTTGATGTTTGTTCCAAGTAGAGGTTTTGTGATGTTGATGTTTAATAAAAAGAAATGTGCTCAAACATTTTTGGTTTACACCAATTTATTACACATTGTGACCAAGTACAAAATACAGCTGAACTATGCAGTTTATTACAGACCATCATCTGTCCTTAGGATAGTTAAAGTGTAGTCAAGAACAGGTTTGAAAATGCACAAAAATAAGGGTTCAGTATACTTGTAAGAAGAACCAAATCTAGTTCAATAAAAAATAATCCTCCGCCAAAAATCTAAAACAGCCTTACAAAAACAAAGTACATACAGAAATTACTTTTTGCTCCAAAGCACTTGAAGGCAGATTACTGTGACAGGCACAAGTTACAAAAAGCCTTAAATAACTCAAGCTCAAGGATTCTCATCGCTACCACAAAATCTGGGGGGGGGGGTGGATAAATCAACCAAACCAATTTCATTTCAACACAAAGCTGATGATCAAATCAGAATAATTCAAATAAATAAAAATTTATTTTGTGAAAGTTTAATAGTGTACTCGGCACCGTAAAGCCACAGTAATCATTCAGTTTCACACATTGAACAATTGAATTGGAAACAAATTTATCACACACACACGTCTAATCAATTACACATCAAAGCATATTCTTCTGATACAATGTGACCAACCAAGTACAGTGTGAGGAGAGAGATTAGGCAAAGACTGAAGGCCACTGAGCACACACTTTCTACATCATACAAAGATATATATATATATATTTAAAATGTATCATCAACAAACTCCCCAAATAAAACACTGTATTTTTATATCTATTTTAAACAGAACATAAGACTTTAATCTGAGTAACAGCATGAGGTCAAAATATCTGAAGTCGGGGGAGCGTGTGCCGGCTCAGATGCCAACAAGATCCTCTTTCTGTTAGAGTTTTGGTTTTACGGGTCCATCGCTCTAACGTGTACTGATTGATCTTCCTTAAATTAAATGTACAACCACTCTGTTAATCAGGAAATAAGGCTCCGTAGAGAGACCAGATTCCAGTTTAGACTTTAACATACCGTCTCCATTAAGACGAATCAACTGGATTTATTCCAAACTCTGTGGCGGTTGAGTGAACCACCACGGGTGTGCACATATGAGTCCCTGTATTAGAACTTACTGAATGCATCCTTCCACTGAGGAGCAATCGCAGGATTGAAACCATTAGAGAACTATTTACAGTGGGAGACACAAAACTGCAATAGTGGCTACATTTCTTTGTTTTAATACTTCCCTAATGTCATCTGAGCCGAACAGAATATAAATCTATTGAGGTAAACAAACCAACATCTTACACAGCCACGGTAGCATACTGCCTTCCTGACTACTGCGACACTGAGCCAGGCCTGTGGCTACGCTGGTGGGAACGACTGAGGGAAAGGTCCTTTGGGTCAGTAGGTTGCATGTTGTCTTTTTTTAAATGTATTTTTGTTGTGCGTGTGTGTTTGCTACGAGCTGCAGCAGAGGCAACAGGGAGTATACACACCTACACACTTATCAATGTTAAAGGTGCTTTGAATGTCTGAGGTTTGGAGACGATACATTCATACTGCGGTAGAGGCACAGCTGAGGGACAGAGAGACATCGGTAGTGGTGGTTTCAAAGTTAGCGATCTAAGGCACTCAAATGACACTATGGCACAGCTAGTTAAGATTTAAAAAAAGAGAGAGAAGAAGAAGAATCACAAACACCACCACTCAAAGTTACACATCCAATAAAAAGGTACTGCACGTAGTCATTCACAGTTGCAACAAAAGCAGAAAGAAAATGTAGACCTGTGTTACACCCCTGTGAGTAAAAAAAAAAAAGAAGAATAAGTGAACTTCCATGGAGAAAGATCACTGTCCGTATAATTGCTAGTGAGGGAAGGACTGACATTGCTACTCTCTTCTCTATGTACATTGCACACACTGACTGAAGGAGGACGCCGTGAGCTCAGCCCCAAAAGCCACTTTAGGGTCACCTTTTTAGGGGGAGATGCTGGTCCTCGTAGCCTTGTAGTCCGGCCCTGTTCAGACTTGACTCACATCTCCTGCAGAGGGTGGCTCATTTCAATCCTCTCTCTTTTGACAGCTGGTTCAGTAGGCCCCCTGGACGCATCGGCATCACTGCCAAGGTCACTCATCTCATCAGAGAAGGATGCATCTAGTGGCACAAAAACGGCGAGGGAATGTTAAAATAGTTCATTTCCATGTCAACTAAAAGCCTAAAACCAATCACCGTATAACCGGTGCAGAGAATGTAGGACAACAGGAGTAAAGGGACAAATACAGCTGGGTTTAAAGCTATAGTACAACTCTATTCCCACGATATTAAAAGATCACACAAAGGATTGTATATTAAGCATTTAAATAGCAACTCGTACATAATTTTCTTATTGTCAACAAATCCCATTGAAACACAAAAACATGTAACTAATCTGTTATTGTCCCCAAGTTTGGCTTTGGTGGACCAAGTCATCAGACATTTGGGGGTAATTGTTATATTTGCCGACACAGGAAATACTTGGTGGAAAGATTTATAAAAAATGAATGTACAAGCGACTGAACACTGTTGTATTTTTTTAGAATATCACCAGACTGATCCTTTTAACATCTTTTGAAAAACCCAGATCCAGTTAGTTCGGCCTCTCAGTTAGCACAACCAGACTAATAGTGTAGAATACAGGCTTACCTTTTTCCATTAGCGATGGCATAATAGAGGTCAGGTCACTGAACTGTGATTAAAGAGATGAGAGCGCATTACTCAACAAAACAGAACTCATCATTATCATTAAAATGTTTTTTTGAACTAGCGCAGTTTATACATAAATATCTTCTTTCTTACCTCTCCCATGACAGCAATAGGAGTTTCTCCGGTGGCTTGAGCCACTCTGTGTTCCACCAGGTAAAACATGTATTCATCATACAGCAGGCGAATCAGGTGGAAGGAGCCAAAACTGGCTGCACTACGCAGGGTCAGGTCTCTGATCACCATGGAGCTACAGGAAGGAAGAAACAAACAGATAATGTATAAAATGCTGTTTGTAGTGAGGAAAGTGAAACAAAGCCTCACTAGTTCTCTGCCCCCCCCGTACCTGTAGAAGGACCATTTAAGCAAGAACTGGCGTGCAGCTTTGGGGAAGCTGGGGCTGCCCTGGTGAGGCTTCAGGACCTGAGAGACCACATTGTCGAGCCAGGTAGCCCACTGGTCCAGAGAGCTCTGCTGCTGCAGGGTGACCTTAAAGTCCTGCTCCAGACGCTGCACCACGCTCTCGTCACACTGACATACCCATGATGCCTGCTCCTGTTCGACACAACCAACACACCCAACCACATTAAGCAAGAATACACAAGCAAGAAACGGAAAACAGAGAGTTGACGGGAGTCGACAGTCTGCAACATATGACATTTTTTAAACAGGGAAGCTGTGAGAAGTGTTAACCTGGACGTTGGCAAAGTCCACCCGGTTGAGGTCAGAGAGCATCTGGTTGATCTGGGAGGTGTTCTGGAGGACGGCGCGGGCTGCCTGGGCCAGGTGGTTCAGACTGGTGTAACGCCTCAGCGTCTGGGCAAAGGCACTGACCACCGCCACCTACACCAGAGAGACAGAGAGTCCACGATAAACCCTGAAATTTGATGTCACTATGTTTTATTATTATAACCAAATTATGTCTTAAAGGCAAGATGTTAGAAACTAGTGTGGGTTTCAGAAATTCACCAAAATGAACACGGTGTAAATGTGATGCTGCTTCTTACATCTACATAAACTTTAACACTCTTTAATTAATGCGTAGATCAAATCTGGTGTTCAGCATCACTGTGTGACAGGTTCTGTGCATAGTAATATATACACTAATATATGACACTCATGGATCAGAAATCAGCCACGTGAGATGATTAAAGGTAACTGAGATTGGATATGTGAGGAACTGATCTGCGCACGACACACGTCTTAATATCAAAGTGTTTATAACGGCTGTTGAAAAGGAGATTTTCTTGTTACCTTGGTGCGAATAATCTCTTGAGGAAAGTTGGTCATGGCATTAGTCAGCCAGCCCTCCAGACTCTTGGCAAAGTTACGGATGGCCTGAGTGAGAGTGCCTGAAGACGCAGAACAGGATTACAAACAGACTTCACTGCAATCAGAAGTAAGAGTTGTGCAAACACAGCCAAACTTGTGTGAAATTCAAGCAGATCTGGAAAAATAAAATAAACTCCCTTATTGCCATCAAGGGAGTTTATTTTAAACACCTAATCATTTGTGCTTCAACATTAATTGAATGGCACGGCTGATACCTGTATACTTGACTGTTACCATGACGTTAATAAATACGTGCCCAACAGTATCAGTTTACAACCCTGCTCAAAGAAGGGACTCCTTTATCTGTATGAAAGTACAAAAAGTAATAAGATATTGTTTGGTGTTGGGCCACCTTGTTACTATTATTTGAGCTGTAACTTTAACATGATGTTAATAAAGGTCTTGGCTGATGTGTTAACTGGTCACTGTTGTCTCACACAAACAAACTTTACTACACTGTGTATGCATAACACATGGTATTCAAATAGGCAATACTGGAACACTGAGAATTAGACTTGCAAGGATTTTGGCAACCACTGACAACTAACATGTTTTTATACATTGTACTATTTCATAGTATCTTTTTAAAATCATAATGAATACAAATATCAACAGCACTGACTGGGAACAGGACGTAGCACATCAGGGATGAGGATCTCTACCAGCGCCTGGTAGAGGATGTGGTCACAGCTCCTCATCCATAGTCTGACCGGTTCATATTTACACAGAGACACCAGCTTCTCTCGGGGGATCACACCCTCCATGTCGTCATCACTACACACAGACGGGAGGAAACATATACAATCAGTGTAAATACTCAGCAGACAGTGGGGTAAAAAGGTTGAAGTAGTAGTTCTCTTTTCAACACTGAAGCCTCAGCTCTTCCTGTGTACGTCATCTGACCTGTTGGGGATGGTGGTATTTCCGTCACTAGATGGCGGTGTTGAATACCAAAAGGTCTGCCAGAGTTTCTCAATGTAGTGGAACTGGAGGTTCATTACCACATCCAAAGTAGCCTGCAGGAGAGGGGGCAGGAAGGGTGGGGGGGAGGGGGGGACAAAACATACAGAGCTGAACCATGGCAACCAGACACACAACAAAGTTTCTACAGGCAGGCAAGCAGCCTCTCGCTCACTGCAGGCCCTCCTGGTTAGACAATGAGCCAGCTCAAACACAGCTCCCTGCACATTAATCATCAGGAGGATCCGAGAAGCCATGTTTAGGCTTCATCTGGAGTTTTTGGGGGTTGATTTCACTCAGTTATTTTTGATCTTGGTTTCCTTTAAAGAGCAGATTAGTATCATAGATCTTCGCCTGCATTTACCTCC